GCAAATCCTGCCCTCTGGTGACACGCAACACAAGTGACAGATTCGATCGCGGTCATTAAAAACTTGGTGCAAATTGGCAGATATTTTGGTGTATTTGGGGTGAGTATAGGGACAATTTTATATTTTATTTATCCTTTCGAGTACACAAATTTGATTAGACAATAGGCAACGGCAGAGGTATATTTGTAAATGCACTGAACCAGCGAATTAACGCGGGGTGAAGAGTTGGTGACGAAATTATAAAAATACCACCGAATACCATTATTACATTGTAAATAGTAGTCTGTAGTGCTGTTTATGTATATAAGAGGCGGCTTACCACCATCAAGTAGCAGTCAGTTCCAGTTATATAAAAGAACTCAATTACTATTTTAGTCCGGTATCTATTGCTCTAGTTAATGTTCTTAGTAGATAATCCATCAAATTTGGTGGCAACCCTGTAAGTTATTTGAGAGCAAAATTAGATGACACGCTCGGTAAAATGCCTATGTCAATATTTATTATGCACGCACGAACAACCAAGCTTTGTCTCAAAGTGAACCTAATAGGCAATTAAGTACGGATATGGCAGTTTATTATATTAGATTTTAATTGCTTAGACGTACATGTATAAACATATTAATATGGCCTATTTACGATAAAACACAATTAGGTATAACATTCGTAATTATAGGTTTGTTATGTTTATGATTAGTTTTTCCTAACTTCTGAAAAGTCTTTGTTAGCAGAAATGTCCATAATGTAGGTAATTAGAGCCGAGACGAGTTGACAAGGACTTTATTTTCTTAGGTACTTACGATTTTCAGTACATGGTTATAACAATATCTACATATTAAAGCTTAAATATTATTATTTCTATGATTCATGTGCAAAAAGTTTACTTCCGTATTTAGGGTTTACCATCTATTTAATTATAAATATCCTAGGTATGTACGTTGCGTGTAAATGATTTCCAACGAATTTTTTAACGTCTTACTACAATTTGAACTAGTAAGTAGACAATAAAAGAAAAGAAAATTCTAGTCCTTAGTAACTAAAACTACTTTTAAAACGTTAAGTAATTTTTATTATTATAAATTCTTTCTCTCAGGTTTGGATGCACTTTTACGCTTATTTTTATTAATAAATATTAGTAGTATATTCTTTTAATTTTCTTCTTTAATTAGAAACATATATATGGTTTAGTTTACACTGCTGTAACTATGTACGCTATCCTTATACACTATAACTAAGCTAAGACATAACCTTGTAATCTCAACACGTCTGTATGGCTGGCTATTTGTCCTTACCATTTGGTTAAACCAAAATACTAAACCAACGAAAGATTTGGTATTATTATAGTATTATACCATTGTGGTAATTAATCATATGGCCCGCCTGATAGTAAACGGCCATGGCACCCCATAAACGCTTTTACCATTAGAGAATCACTAGACTTGTTGACCTTTCTAACATGAATATCTTGAGTCATATTGTATAGGTACTCCTTTATTGTAATTAGCCAGGTAAGTAGGAAGCTGACATGTATTATGCAGAAAAATAGATAAATGATTTGGTTCCAACTTTAGCACATATATAACAAAAAGAAATAATCTATATTAAAATAAAATTATTATAAGCACTTTTGAATATTTTTTTTATGTATCGCTCATTCACGTTTGATCCAACATTGTCTCTGCCAATAAAAATGTGTAAGTTACTTGCCTGTTACTTTTTTTTAAGAATTAACCTTTTACGATTTCGTGTACATAAATACATACTAATATAAATAGCAAGAAAAGAGTATAGGATGAAGACAAAATTAATTTTATAACTATAAAAGTAACTAAATTAAAAATAAACGTGTATTAGAAGGTAAATCTTAGCGTGTAAAGTTTTTAGTCCAGGCTTTCGTGTCAACTTTATTTTGTAATACGTAGGTAAAAGCACTTACCCAGGCTGAAGTAACTTAAACAGAATAATACTGTGTAATCACATTTTTAGCTTTACAATTTACAAAAAATTGGTTGCATAGATTACTCTTGAAACGTAGGTACTCTATATGTACTGTATCTAAATATATATTAGTTGTCTGGCCTACCTACCAAGTGTAGATGATATATATACTAATAACTTTATTAGCCCACAATTATTATCGCTCTACTGATAACAAAAGTAAGAAGTTACCACCTTGAAACTCTACAAACCTTATTTCTGGGCTAATGATTTCTTCATTATTGCGATTTCATAGTGCGCGTTAGCGACACGACGATATGGGTAAACTACAGCATAGGTGATACGCTGGCAATTTATGATGAAATACGATGTGATTACAGTGATTTTATTAACTTAGTCAGACGCCAAACGTACAGGTAAGAGATTTTCAGTCTTCAGTACGAGGACATTACCAGTAGTTACAGTTATTGTCAAAATATTGTAGGATAGAGAAACAAACCGAAGCAATATTTGTACTTCTACTAATAATTTCTACTTCTTCATACAAAGCTAAATATTATGAAGGGTGGCACCTCTAGAGATATGTTCTCGTTGATTGGATTATCTTTATTTATTGAAAATTACCTAATGTATTTTGTTACTAAATGCTAATAGACATTTTATACATGCTAGCTTATAAACATATATATATACAATTGTCTATTACCTTTTCGGAACTAAACACCAAAACGGATACTAATTAATATGCAATTAAGATAGATTGTATTACAAGAATTATCGTAAGCATTTTTTTGTTTTAAAAAAATATATAAAATCGAGTGAAATAGAGTACCTATGCAAATTTGTGCAGGTAAAGTCGCAGGTCACAGCCAGTAGGTATATAAAATGCACTAATGTATACCTAAAGGTGTACAAAGCTGTACTCATTACCTAGATCTTTGTTATCATTTATATTCTATGGGTTAGTGGAGTAATATATCAAGTGCCTACCGTTTACAGATGAGTGAGAATGACTTGTTGACAAGTTTAGGCGGTAAATATTTGAATAACGTAGCCTAAATATTCGTAATTGACTTAGTACGACCTATTGAAATGAAATAGGTATTTTTTTATAAGTAATAATATCGTTCTAATGGTTTACTATAATCTCATACTTCCGATGGTCTTGGATTAGATTCTAACGATATAAACATTTATATTCATGCAATAGTATAATTGTTAGGCAAAAATGTAGTTAGATTTTTCTATCAGAGCGTTCAGTATCTACCTATATTACAAGCTTGATTTTTTAGGAATAGCTATATGATGACGAAATGTCCTGGGCAATGAAAAATTGACACTATTGGATTATAAACATATGTCAAATGATGCACTCGCAATGCAAGACAGATCAGTCGGTACATCGTGGCGAATTCACCGGTAATTAACCAAGATGGTTTCCTATGGGGAACATGTAGATAGGTCGAATGGGGTTGATTGATGTAGAATGATCGATCAGATAGGTGGTACATAACTAACGATAGGACAACTAGTTGTTATTACTAATAATCATTGAAGTATTAAATATCTAACACAGCACTATTCTACCCATTCCAAAACTAAACAATGCTTTTATTATGATTCGATACTACACAAATGATAGAAATTATAAACTATGTTTTTTTAAATAGCTAAATAGTTCATACAAAAACATTCCAAACTGGTGCAAACAAACATATGAATATTTATTAAATAATGTGCGGGAATCGAACCTTTAATCATCAAAGGAGGTCAGTATATTAAAACGCTACACCCCCACGACCGTCGATTATAATACAGTACCCAATTTTATAATCATATAAATTTTATCAAAGAAGAAAGTGTAACTACGTTGTAATCATATTATGCTTAATTAAAAATAACTAACCTCCCATAAAATCCGTTGTCTACTTATTCTCTTCTCAAATGCTGACATGTTACGAAAAATAAAGTCACATCATGTCAATTTAATACTCGTATTGCACTAACACATATAAATAAGCGTTATATAAAATTATAGAAAGCACTTCGGTATATTTTAATTATTGGACAGCAAAACAAATATGTTAATTTACCTTCTAACACAAAAGTAATAAGTTCATAGTCGCCCAATGGTTTAGAATTGGAACATCAATTTGATTTTAATCTATTGCAGTCTGTAGTTCATTCTAACTCAATTGGATGTCTTCCAATTACAAAACCCAAGGGGAATAAGTCGTTGCTATTATTAAATGTGCATCTAAATGGTAACATCTGTATATCTAAAAGTCAGCTTGACTGAATATAATAAATCTTATGTATTTATCCCACTAGGATATAAAGGCAATAACTTGATTTAATTAGTTAATCGCTTGCATTTCCCCGACAGCTATTGAAATGAGTTAGCGGGGTAACTGAGAATGAAGTTTGGTACTCAGGTCGGTTAGCCCATTAAACGAATTCATCACGAATGACCACGATTGTTTTTAGGATGTAGTAAGTGAGGTTGACCTCTACGCTACTGCTACGCCACATTATTAGCAATGGGGGCAATATTCCCCTTTAGGTATTAAGAATCCTCGTCTACTCGAGGAATAAGATAGTAATAGAAATTTTAATAATAATATTGTAAACGGTGAAACTAATTAATTCCAAATGTTCCAATTCCCGTGAAGCGTATGCCTTTAATGCAGGGGTGGATTCAACGAATTCAAATAAATATTAGTATTTATGTCCTTCATATAAATACTAATATTTATTTGAATTCGTTGAATCTACCCCTGCATTAAAGGCATACGCTGACGGGGTACCGACCGAAGATTAAAGGATGGAACCAGCTCAGTTAGCCCACAATGCAATTCACCACGAATCAAGACCTTCGTGTAGGATTGTACCTAATTGAATAACAAAAATGTATTCAACAATACGTTTTTGTTATTCGTATATACAATTACAAACTAATAAGGTACAAATATAATAATCCTGACAAATTGGTGTTCAGGAAATTAAATTGTACAGTATGAAGAGATAGACATGTACCTAATTAAATTATGTTTAGAGTTACTTACGTTATCTGGTACTTCCAACATCATTTCCTCGTTGAATTTCAGGAGGATCATGAAATTGTTGAGACAGATATATCATCTGAAAGATGAAAGAAAAATAACATTATTATCATCTTTATATCATCTCACTCATCTACCATATATCTACCTACTACGTTATACTTAATAGGTAAGTAGTTGAGAGTAGGTGGGTACGAATAATATGTTGACGCTTTTGTACCTTGTGACAATACAAATATAGGATTCTTAAAAGTGTTTGAAATTTATATCATGTCATATTTATTGATTCTATAACAATTTAACGAATGTTTAAGAAAATAAAGTATAATAAATAAAAAAGACATTTTTTGATGGAAGAATATGATAATATGGTGCACCCGCCTGCGTAAACGCTGGTGCGGCACCAGAGGCGAATATTAGGAAGAGAATGAACCATGGTCAGTCAGCCCATCATAGTGTAATCATCAAGAATTAACTAGGATAGTTTCCAGGGTCACCGCGTAGAGGTCAATCTGACATGATACATTATTAGTAATGGGTTTTTAGTTTCCATTACATACAGTCCTTTCCCCTCAATAACAAAATAATTATAAATAAGTAAAGTGACGTAGACGTAGGCATCTAATTCATAAAACAATGAATATTTAAACTTAGTATTCTAGTAAACAAAATTTTAAAATGTGTAGGGTTTCCTATTACAATCACCATAGTCGTAACTATAAACACGTAATAAGTAACACATTTTGGTTGGAATTTCGCTGGGTGGTTATATAGTCTATAATATGGATAAATATACAATCAAGAAGAAGTAATTCTAATTTATAGAGTTGAGATTTAAATAATGGTCTCTATCAAATAAATGTGCGTGGCCAGTGAACAGTGTACGTTAGCAGCAATTTTATATTGTTTTTTTTTTATTGTGCTACGGAAGCATTGTATAACTCAGTATAAAGTCAATGTCAAACTGACAGATGGAATGAGTGTCCTAAGTCATAATGTCAAATTATTGTCGTGTTGTGTTGTTATTATGAGTTTGTTTTGAATATTTTTAAAGTCCCTGTTATATTGAAATAACATATTAATATATACGTAATTAACTAATTTGATAGCTGTAATATTCCTACTGATATAAAGTGTCGATTTGGTACCAGTGCTAAACGAAGAGTTATGGTTTAACTTTGGTAAGTTTACTGTCTTATTTTTAATGTAGATATAAAAAATAAATTAATACGTATATAAACATTAAAATAATAATGATGGATACTATGTTGTAGTGTATTTAATATATATAATAAATTAATTACTTTAAATACTATATTTAAAGTTGTATAAGGGTCTTCAATTAATACCTATATTTTGTAGTAGCTTTTACCCGTGACTTCAATAACGAAGAGTTAAGCGTATTTTTATTCAAATAAATTAAATTTCTAAAATAAAAGTAATCTAAGCTACTCTTTATACCATTAGCTGTCTATCTCTGTCTGTGAGTGAAATCCCGTCAAAATAGGTCCAGCCGTTTCATAGATTCACAAAACGACAGTAAAAAAAAAATAGATGTAGTATTGCATTGCATTATGCATTTAGTGCATAGCAGTTAATTTGAAATTACAAACAGACACTTCAATTTTGTTTATTTCTATAGATAGGTACTTAGCCACAACAAGCCAGAGATAGATTGTAAAAAATTTTCTGCTGAATTTTATGAGACAGAGATACCCTTATCTCTGTCTCATAAAATTCAGTCACCAAGCTACTGTTTTGGTTGTAGGGTTCAGTAGCAAAAGACATTAGAGGGTGAGAGGACATCTTAGCCCTCTGGAATGGCAGTGCATGAGCGCTATCATGGGTGTCACATAATAATGTGATGCCCTACATTCTCTTCATGCATATATATGGTTACTGTTTACTATCAGGTGGTTCATTAAGTTGTTTGCCATTCTAATTATATAAAAAAAAACAATGATACAAAAATAAAACATTGATCTAAAATCATATTCAAGTAAAATGCTCTCAGTATGTCATCAACGGATAGCTTATGTATTTTCCAAGAAAAAATAAGTTTCATAATATATATAATATGACAAAATAATTTTCTAGAGTGATAAATCATTTATTGTAAATCAAATTAATATGAAACTGTATTCCATTATCTTACATAAAAAAAAGTACCTATATCATCTGTTTTAATGGCTCACTCCTAATGGAGGTGAAGTTGATTGTGGATATTCATAATCTATAAAAAAATATTGGGGTGATTAGAACTTGGTGGTGAGCTGATACTAAAACATGATTTTTTTTTTATATCATGTCGGTGGCAAACAAGTATGGCCCATCAGATGATAAATGGTTACAATAGCCTATGGACGCCTGAAACACTAGCGGTATCACATGTTTTAGTTGTCACAATAGGAATTGGATAGATAGAGATAAAGACTAAAGTGAGTCACAAAAGAAAACTGAAATTAAGTAGATGGAATGAACCAGTTTGTTTTTTGCCAGTTCTTTTAACTAACTAACTCAACAGTAGTTTTGAATAGAAGGAATTTAAAAAGAAATTAATTAAATAATTAGCATAAATATATCCTACATAAAAATATTATTTGACTTTCACTTTGCTATATATCAATTTGACGTGTTATAAATTTCTATAAAAATGACACTTTTTAGATAGACCTGTTTGAATTCTACATACAAACATCTACCACCTACCAATAGCCTTATATTGATTAAAATGACATCACTCAAATTCACATGAGTTTGTGTCTCAAAATATTTAGCATTACAATTTCTTTAATATTAATTTAAAAATAATAAACAAAAGTTCATCATCCTGTTGTACTCAGTCAGCGTATACCGATAGCACATACGGGTGGACAATTTCGTTTCCATCCATTTAAAAAGTCTAGTGCATAGTGCTCTCTGGTGCGTGGGGAATACTACTTTATTTAGCTAAAAGTTTAGCAATTTAATATCTCGGTCTGGAGGATCCGGCTCTTTTATACAGCATACAAATAAAACTATTAGATGACTATAGATAAAAACAGTAGTATAAAATGGTGATATTGTGTTTCGATCCAGGAACTATAAAATACTTTTCGAGAACTTTGAATTTTTTGAAATTATTGAAATTTCTAGAATACTATTACTTACTTTAAATTACGTGCAGTTAATGTACCTACAGTTTTATCCTCATACCAGTTCACATGCAACTTTGTCCGACGTTCTCTCCTAATGAATGAAGCAGTAGCTACTAATATGTACTAAGTAGGGCCGTTGAAAGTTGGCCCTGCGCTACTTTCTATCGTCTCTGCGACTAGAATATTTATACGACATTCATGAGATACTTATGTCTGTCTTAAGTAATATTGATAATATTTTTTATGTAACTTCCAAATCACTAAAAAGTTTGATGTGTTCACGAAATCAGAACCGTCGTTGAATATCTTTTTCTGTAATATGAATGTACTCAATATACTGTCTATTACGGCTTTTCACGATTTTAATTAATTGGTTTTTAATGAGTAACATAAAAAGAATGTACAAATTAAATGTGATTAATTTTTAAATTTATTAGTTTAGAAAAATACTTAATTATACATAATTAACAGATTCACACTGCTGTTTCTTACGTCTATGCTTGCACCAAATCCTCTTTAGAAAAATCTTCTCTTCTTTTATCTTCTACCAATCATTATGCAATAATAAATTGCATTTTGTCACATATAAGAGTGTTATGTGTTGAGGTCCTTTATGTTCTTAAATAATGAATGTAACGAAGTAACTAACTAAGACCTCAGTAATTTTTTCACTTTTGAGAGGTGGTACTAACTAACAGTTGCGATCTCAGTTAACAACCTTCCGTAAATGTAAAGGCGGGCGTAAGTTTCGTTGAAAAGTCGTGTAAACAATATATATATTTTTATTTAAAACTACTTACTTAGTTTTTAACTAGTATACCAATAAAAAAATTAGACCAAACCATCCCTTTACACGTCATTCTGTCAATACTTTCTTTATATTGACAGTTTTTTATTGTTCTGTACGATAGGTAAGATAGGTACCGTTTACATTTTCCTATTTGGTGCGCCCAATCCGTTAGACTCCTATTTCCTTTCCCTTTAGTTCTACTTTTCCCTATATACTTATGTGTTGTTTATATATAAGTTGTGTCGTAGATGCACCACCTTTTTCTCATGTTTTTCTTCATCATCTACATACCTAAAGGTTGTAACCGATAGAATCGCCTTCGTAGAAAAAGATACAATCATATTATGTATCTAATATTTTTTTGCGTCTAATGCAAAAAGTGTATAAATAAATAAATATTACATTATTTAGCTTTGTCTAGCTAGACACATATCTTCCAGTCCATTATCTTCAAACTATGACATAGCGTCACATAGCGGTTACACGATAATTAAATATGTCGTCATTCTTCGAACATATAGTAATACTATGTGAATGGATTGCCATCAATATTTATTTTGTAAAATCATAATTACTTATATGGAAGTCAGTAATTGCAGATATAATTACATATTGTTTCATTCAGTCACTTTTTGCTCTATAGTTATTATTTGCTTATTTATTGTCAACGCGGCGCTCAAAATGTTCGAGTGGAATGAAATTAGTTTTATTTAGACGGATTTGGTTTTATTTTCATCAATTGCTAATGAAAAATCTATCTAGCTTGCTAATAATATATCAGATTTTAAAATGTTAATAACACTTGACAGAATAAAATATCCTAATGCATAATGTTTGTGTTATTTATTTATTAAAACTTTAATACACAAATACAAACATAAATATGCATATGGCGGACTTAACATCGTAAGGTATTGTACTGGTGTGATTAAGTAAATAACATAAAATAAAAATAATAAAAGGAGCCACAAGATTTCTTTGTCATTTGACTGACTGTTGTTTCCTACCTTTTCACGATTAAACGGATCTTAATATTTAACACGAAAATAAATATTATGATGACAGACATAGGCTATATTTTATCTCATAAATGAATCTGCAATAGGGAAAATTTGATCCAACGAAGTCACCGGTAACGCCTAGATTTTTGCA